GAACATGCAGTGAAAACGATTTACGGCGAATTACGAAAATCGCCTATGTCAAAATTTTATTAGAACAGTGTTGACAGAAGGGATTTAATGTCAATTCGTTTTGGGCAAAAGATGAAAAAAATCTAACGACTGGATTTTTTTTAAATAAACAAAAACCATTTTTTGAGCTTTGTTTTTAACCAGCCCCGTTGCCATGGCAACAGCACACATCTTAGCCAAAATGGGAGAATAAACTTTTCTGTGGTTAACCTTGACTCTTGCAAAAAACGAGCGCCAAAGCATAAATAGCTTAAAAGTAATGGTGAATTAGGCATAGGCTCTTGAAAACTGTGTTCGGCCACCTTAAGACGAACTCAAATCAAAAGTATGAAATAATCATCTCTTGCAATTGTTTTTGGTCACTTTAACAAATCAACGCGGCAATTACAAAATGTAAACAAATACCCCTTGTCGTTAATGGCATTAACGACAAGGGAGGCAAACGCTTTATGGAATTACTAGTAAACATTTTTGCCTTCGCTAACCACTACCGCGACACGTCGCGGGTACAAGTCGCTGGGACAGAATTTTGTCGCTGCGATTAGCCGCACGAATTCAAACTGGTTTGAATTCGTACGACTAATCGCAGCGACAACATGACTGAAAGCAGCGTTGTCGCAGCGTGTGTACACTTCTGCGACGCGTCGCTGCGGCAAAATATAAATCAACCAATGAAAGAGCGTCATTTTCTCCCCATAATCCCTCAGTAACCTGTTCAAAAGGCGACTAAACATATGGATGGGCAAACATCTGAGCGATCCGAGGATTCTTCGCTTTCAACATGGAATGTTACCGCAACTTAAGTGGTAATCCAGTTCTATAAAGACAATAGACTCCTATGGGATAAATCCTCGATAGCAGGTTCTTTACAAGAGGGTTATAAGCCCCTCTTTCTTCTCTTCTTGCTGCTTCGTGACATTCACTGTCGTGTCCAGTATCTTCTTTCAACGTGTTTATATTTTTCGTTATCTAACAGCATCGTTAACAGAACTAAAAGCTTCCTTTTCTTTGACCTTCGCTGTAGGTCCGCCATGTTGAATTAGAAAACTAGTTCACAATCCTCCCAATCCGAAGTCACTGCGGTGCTTGTCAGGAACAAGCCTCTTTTCGCAGCGACTTGTTTTGAACTGAGCAGTGCACACGGAGCGACCTATCGCAGTGACCTGTCCCAGCGGCTTGTCGCCTAGTGTGTCTCGGCCTTTATCGATGTGTACGATCATTCGACTTTCATTCCGTTGATTAACATATCCTTTTCAGTGAGGTTTCTAGAATCCACGGCTGAAATCACACACACAATGACACACACTGTTATTCCTACGTTTTGAAGTGTGTCTTGACGTCTACACTTGTTTTGTCTTTGAAAATGATAATAACAAAGATTTCCGTTTCTCTGCAGTTTTCCTTTGTTTGTGCTTTATTCTGCGTAGCAAGTCGGACAGACATAAAGTACCTCATTCCTGCAGCTAAGCTCAAGGAGGTGATTATTTTATTATTCGCTTTTCAGTGTTCTATCTTTTCTTACAGGGTTTTTTGTCCCGGCTTTTTTTTCAGGGTAGCCAGCTCTTTATGCTAAGGGCTCTGGAACCAAGTTGGGTGCGAGCACGAGCATTGGATTCAAACGTTGGTAAGTTCTACACTCGCACGAAAGCATTGTCTTCAGTTCCTGTCATAGGGAGGGCTAAGGGTTGGCCTTTATAAAAGACATAAATCACTATTTCGCACATCATAAAAAATCATATCATGCTCTTTCTCCTAAACAAGAAGTTGACTTAACTTGAAGGTAAAGTTTTTAATCTATTGTGATCACCTTTTCCATAGTGACAAATAGATTGATAAGAAATTGTCAAAGGCAGCATTTTATCACCACTTGATTACTGGTCCAGAATCGCGTTCCTTTTTTATTCACAGGTCAGCCGGCAAATTCCCCTGCGACAAGAAATGATTTTGAATTACGATCGTTTGCTTTCAGTAGATATGTCTTCCAGGAATAAGATGCAAGAAATTTACAGAATTTCGTTTTATTGTGTTAATTGCCACAAGCAATTCTCTGAGAGAAAGCTCGAAGACCATTCATGCTGAAAAGCACGTTTAATACAATTTTATCGTCTCGCTGGGTGTAGTACCACTAACTATTTTTCATTTATCGTAATTCATCATTAATAAAAAAAGATGCTTTTTCAGCGACCGACTATACTCTGAGAATATCGATGTGTTCACTTTCAAAAACAATTTAAACGTAGATATTGAGGTTAGTGTTATGTGCTTTTAGCCATGACAAGACCCTGACATACAGCATGCCTGCAGGCAAATCATTTGAATACAGAACAAACTACCACTTAAACCACTACTGTCTCAGAATATTCTGGGCAGCCAGCTATGAGATGAATTGAAAGAAATTAACTCAATTTCGTAAAAATACGTAGGCAACCAAGTGCACAGAAACTATTACCCTTTTTCACTTTTTTTTGTATAATTGGCGTCTTCTAGACTGATACTCATTCATTCTAATAAACTTCATGGTAACCATCGGATTTTCTAAGATAAATCATTTTTGGCTCGAAATGACCCCTAACGGTCGGTGCGATTATACCAGAACAATTAATACTTCATGATGTGCGACCGACCACCGCAGAAAAAAAAAAATGATGCAGGAGAGAAAAGGGTTTTAACAAGGTTTTTTGGAGTTGGACAGTGAGATCCACATAGAAAAAAAAACCAGGGCAAATATCCTCTTAACAACGACCCGAACAAGCTTGTAGTTACTAAGACATTTATGGCAAGATTTTGTTATCGAAAGAGCCATTGAAATAATACTGAAAAAATATCGGACTGACATATTCTGATTGGCTGCTTTCAGTTATTGACGCTCTCAGCTGTCACTTTGTCGCCTTGTGTTACAATTAATGGTTCTTATAAAAATACCTCCGAGGTTAAATGAATAAACATGGTCAACAGTGCAATCAACAACGTGATAATTGTCGTATTTTTGTTTGTTTGTTTGTTACGTTTTTGTTTTAACAGAGTGAAATCGGAATTGAATTCTTCAGTATTACTGTCAGACATGAAGGAACTCGTTCTACTTCTGGTATTTGGACTCGTCTCGAAGCTCGTAAAAGGTAACTACAGCTGACGCAAAGCCAAGAGCAAAGCTGAGGCTGTAAGGAGAGGTTCAGTCTACTGACTCTACTGTAAGGTGCAAACTGGAAATCTCTCGACATCAGCCGAAATTAAGTGAAAATCGAGCGATCGCTATTGTTGTCTCAAACGTCTAACTTTTAATAAAAGTGGCTTCTAAACTTCCCAGTGCTTCACTGTTATGCAAACACACTGTGACGTTTTACATAATGTTCCGAATGAATCGATGAAAAAGTAGGGCCGCAAGCGACACAACAAGCTCAATATCAATAGACACAGTCGCACCACTCCTTACAGGCACCTCCATACATTCAGATACTTCTTTATATTATAAAAAGTTCAAAAACCGCAGTTTATACCATTTTTATCTCTATGATAAAGACACCTGAAATATAAACGAGGCAGCTCTGGCTCTGTCGAGTGTCATGTAGGTATTAACTAAGAAGTTGGCCTTAACTTCGGAAGCCGCCTATATCGTGCGATGTATTGTAATCAAGTGCAAATATATTGCACAGCTCATACGACAGAGAAGTTCTTCGGTTCCTGATTTCATTCAATGATTTTCTTTTTTTCTCAGGTCAGGCTAACACTATCGGTAGCGTTTACTGCCACAACAATCACACGGTCGATATAACTATCATCAACGTGGAAGATCTAAGCAGATGGAACGAATCTCAGTGGAGGTTACAAGATAAACCGGAATGCGAACCGACATTTTCACGTGCCAATGAAACAGTAACCTATACTGATCTCGTTCTACCTGACTGTGCGCTGGCTGCGGAACAGCTTTCCGAAAGCATTAAATACATTCTCAAAATCAACCCTATAACGCCCAACCCAGGAGGTACAGGCCAGTTACGTGTGTACGACCAGCTGTATTTTGTGTCATGTGACTATGACAATCAAAACAGATCAACAACAAGCTTTGTACCGATCACAAACCGAGGCAACAATGACTCAAGTATGTAAAATACGATGTAAAAATAGCAATTGGGATTTGCACTTTACACATATTACATGAAAAGGCTTTTAAGTAATCGCTAATTGACACTTACTCAGACATGTTCCATTGGTGAGTGTTAAGTGTAGTCCCCATATCACCATCAACATCAATGCCTTCCCTCCTTCTCCTCCTCCCCTCTCCTCGTCCTCCCCTTTCTTTTTTCTTCCTTCTCCTCCCATTCTTTTTCCACCTTTTTCTCCTCCTCAACCTTATCATCATTACTGTGATTATCCTCGTCATAAACCAACAACCAACAAGCGACAAGCGACAAGCGACAAGCGACAAGCGACAAGCGACAAGCGACAAGCGACAAGCGACAACTAATATCTACAGGCTAAGATGATAGTAAAATTGTTTGAAAAAATTTAATAATAAAAAAAGATCCATAAGTTAATGGACTATTGTAAAATCAGGTCGCTAAAATAGACTTAAATGTGATAGGATTTGTCTCTCTGTTCTTACTTACTGAGGATTATTTGTTTTTCTCCTCCAGGCACTGGATTTTTTACCTTTTCTCTTCAGGCTTTCTATTTCCCCAATCATACCGGTGACGTCCCCAGCCCGGTCGAGCTGGGTAAAACTTTATATTTCAAGGCTAACGTTGTGACACAAAGTTCCACATCCAACCTTGATCTTTTTCCCGAACACTGTTGGTCATCAAGGAGCAGCAACCCGATGATAGATGATGGTAACTTAGATCTAATAATAAAAGGGTAAGGATTATATTACTATTTCTCATTAAACAACAACATCAAGACGAGAAAAGGACAGTGTTTTATGTCACCTAATCCTGGAAAACCATATCAGCAAAAATGTAAAATTCTCCGGTAGAAGTTTATAGTACTGTTTGCACAGTACTTTTTTTTTTTTTGGAAACATTCCAAACTGATTGTGAGGTGATCTGATTACAAACTGAGTAGTCTTTATTTAACTCCATGGTTCTGAGGAAGATTGGCGAAATATTGATGAACTCTGTTAGTTGTTAATACATTTCTTTTGGCTATCAAAATGACTTAACCCTTAGTTGGAAATTTGATATCACAAATGATAAAAAATTGTCGTTTTTTGTCGATTTTCAATTTTAAGTAGTTGGCTTTCGCTTTTCATACAGTCACCGATGCGCGTAATTACCCGAATATGTTTTTACAAGAGAAAATGCAGTATGAGAGAGTTTGTTCCCTAGGTGATCCTTCTAAAGTTATTTCCAGATCATTCACGGTTTCGGAAATCTCGGGAGGGATTAGAAATAGCCATATTTTGCAACCCAAGAAGCTTTACACGCATTTACTAGGCAAGAATATATCTACACATCGCGCGTGGTAGCAAGAGGTATCCGTGAAAAAACTGGGTACTATGTTTAGAAATAGCTTGAGAGGAATTACCTTGGGGAAAAAACATTATGAGGGCGATTAACTCCCTAGGGAATATTGTAACTTAGCTGGGTCCAATCAAAGTTGGCATACGTCATTTAGATGAGAGATAGGTCGCACACAGGTTACACTGATCAGTTTCATTACAGTCAATTCACACATAGCTGCACCACATAGGCTCCTCAGTCTTACACATACTGCAGACTCGATGTTTGTACTTTGCCACTGAGGCAGTTTGTTTGGATTTGAAACATTTAATAATTGTTGTTGTCTCTTTTCAAAACCAGTTGCGGTAACGACACAGTGAGTGAAGACCTTGGCGATACATTATCGTACAGATGCACCGACGACGATATCAAAGAAACCTTCTCCATCCAAACATTTAGGTACTTTGGTGCGAACGAAGGAGATGCAGTATTCTTCCACTGTGAATTCAGGGTTTGCCTCCGGTCGGCTGCTACAACAGCTTGTGATTGCCCTTCTCCAGCCGAGTGTGCCACTAATGCGAGGAAGAGGCGTTCAGTCAATGACGTCATAGTGGATGAATCACAGCTGTATTATGTGACATCAGGTCCTTTCGTTTTTCAGAACGACCACGAGGAGGAGGAAGTGAATGAAGAAGAAGGTATGAAAAAGTTATTGCTTTTGAACAAACTGCTTCTCATCACAAAAATTGACTATTAATTAATACAAATTCACCAACCAAGGCCCTCCTGGCAGCTGCTAAACGGACAAACGGATTCCAATCAACACTGTATAAGATATTTATCTCAATCATGGAGAGGAAGGAGACGCGACATGCAGTTGCTATGACGCCTGGAGTTTTCATTTATCGCAAATTATCAATTAGGCATACACACTGCTGCGTATTGTTTTTCAGAACTTAGCTATAACAGAACCGGAGTCCAGCGCGCTGACCGTCAGACCACCGTGCCTCCACAGAAAAATAATTATAAAAAATAAACAAATAGATGTCAATTATAAACACTTTCCTTTCTTCAGGTGAATCTGACGAACAGGAGGAATCTCAGTCTTTCTCGACCAGTTTAGTCACCATCGTGGCGGTCAGCGGTGTTATCGCCATAGCCATCTGCACAGCCGTCTGCCTTTTAGTGCGTAAGCGCACCAAGAAGCAGCAGGATGGTGATCTGAATATAGCCACTTGAGCGCTAGATTGTAGAGTGTGCAGAGTGTAAAAGAGTGTTAACCTGCTAAGTAGAAAGCACGTATATGTTCATTTCTTAAAATAGTATACAAGTCTTTAGGTCCGCAGTCTGCATTTGCCACACACCCCAGAACGTGAAATATTTGAAGCACAATATGTTTAAGGGTAGTTTTTAGAGGGAAATAGTTTTGAAGCCCGACAAACATCAAAGGAGCAAACAAGTCCACGACCGCGCACAATCTTCGTCCGTTTTTCGCTCATGCATGCATTGTGCCCATGAATTACGTAATCAACACGTTTCTATAGGTTAGTTCCTCAGTACGGAGTAAGCAACCATTGTGTTTTGTGCAAGGTCAAGGCAAAAAAAGCAAACAAAAACCTAAAACAAAGAAATTTGTCGGGTTTCATAACCATTTCCCTCTATGAACTATGATCTAAGCGATCGCGTTAGTGTAGAACATTTACATCCAATTTCAGTTCCTGTCGTCAAGGCGTTTTGAGGTCAAATAAAGGTTTGTTTATTAACAAAAAACGCTTTTGCTGTCAACTGTTCACTGCAACACCACGGTTCTTACTCTATTAAGTTTGTCAATGTTAAAGGGTGGAGTAGTTTTGATGATTTCAGAAAAAGGATTGTTACAATTTTCTAAGACTTGACCCACTTGGTAATGATGTTGTGAATATGAAAAATGCAAAACAGGAACGTTACATGGAGGCTTTGAAATCAAAATGTATACTGACTATAAAGTTTCAGTTACAGAGTTGCATTTTCCTCAGTTAAATATGAAAAAAGGGCTAGCAATGTAATTGCGCGCAGGCGCTAAGTTTCCAACCTTTTTGTTGGTTTGCAGCTGCTAGTACGAGGAGGCACCGAGAATCTGTCTGTGGGTCTTTAATTTCTCTGTCTAGCGCAATATTCGTCTAACTTCCACTTCTTGACTAACAAATGCACACGCACTTAACTACCCTTTGGCTATCGGTAGATATGTATGGGTCACTTGGGCCGCTTTCAGAGGTAAACTACAAAGTTCTTGAAACAACCAATAGAAGCTTAGAGAACAACAATGAGAACAATTTATTTCTTATCCGAAACCTAAACAGGATCTTTTGTGGCCAGTAGACGAACCCAAACATGACCGTCGATGGGTAATATTTGGAGCCTAAGTACTCACGAAAAACTGAGATAAACAACTTGCAGTCATAAGACTCACTGTATGGGCAGAATCACAAGACTAAGTGTTTGCTGCAAAATGATAAACAGATGGTGATCACGAACCAAACATAGAAAATTCGAAAATTCTAAAAAAAATTATGGAGCTTCGTAACATCTTAATGCAAAAATGGCCAAATTATTAAAACTAGGAAGGTGTAGTGGAAAACAATACAGTGTACCATGCTGCGCATAAACAAACGCACATTGAACGCGAGGAAGATTTTTGTTGACAGCGTTTACACGTCATGGGATGTTTGTTCTGTCTTTCATGACCCCTTCCTGAGTCAGACAGCAGGAAAGTTGCGTCATAAGCCGCATTTACTCATCGTTTACATACAGCTGCGTCAACGAATATTGCAAGCGGATCTTTCGGCAAATCATGGATTTCAGTCGCAGAAAATCGAAAGAAAGTGATATTATTTGCAAAAAAATTAGCGGGAAATATTTCTGACTGAAGATTTTCATTGAACTTTGCGTGCATGCGAGACCAATTGTAGATACCAATTTTAACGAAACTGGAAACTGTTAATAGTGCAAAAGACTATCGGAAAATATTTTTCATTGGAAATAAACTGCCGCACTTATCTCGCTGAAAATGGCTATAATTTGGGTCACGCTCATTGGCCGAATTTGTACCGTAAACGAATTATCTGTCTGAGAGAAATCAACCGTCCGTAAGATAAGTGACAGAGGGATGACTGTAATGCTACCTTGGCAGATTGATCAACCACGGCTCGTGGCAGCTGCTAAACGGAGAAGTTGTTGGCAATCAAGACTGCATAAGACAAAGGGATGACTGTAATGCTAGCTTGACAGATTTTGGCATACTTCCGGAAAATTTAGTACAACAAACACGCGTTTTAAGAACTCATGATACGCAGAGATGTACATGGTATGGCGATTGACAAGCGTCAAAATCAGCCAAACATTTTCCCGATTGAGGCTAAAAGTTAACGGTCTCTAAATGTTTCAATGAATTTGAAACTCAGTGAGATCCTCGAGGTGCAAGTTTAAAAAAAAATTCGTCGCGAGTTTTTGACCATCATAGATACAAGTGCTTTCCTCATTATAACAGGAATCTTGCTTGAAGCAGGTGCTTTTGTTAATCAGTGGTTTGAATAAACGTTTCGTGATCAAATTACCTGAAGGATGCTGATGATGTCCTATTTTTCTGAAGCACGATTGGCCGCGTCCAAGCGATTGATCGCGAAATTTGCTTCAAGGTGATTTAATAACGACAAGTTGTGAGGTCGTAATTTTTCAAAGCCATTCAATTCAGGTAAAAGAAAAACGATTGATATTAAAACCAGGAAAATCATTGTCCAAACGAAATTGCTATCACAGCGAGACACTTGTTCCCATCGTTAACAATTGAGTTTGCGCGCCACTTTTTCAAGTCACGATCACAATTTTATTTATCAGCAAGTATCTGAATTCCCTCAATAGACCAGTTTTGACAATCGCATTTGCAAAACGTCAGTTGGTCTCAATAACACAGGAAACAAAATTTGTCACAAATTAAAGAGAACGCTTTCCCTGAACAATTTGAAACATATAGCGCAAACTTGTTATCATCTGTTCCTATCTCTTTTGGTAATTATTTGGATAGTGTTAGTCAGTTTTAATATTAGTTCACCAAACAATTTTTTTTGATAAAAACATAGTCTTAAATCTAACCTGCCCCCAACTGAGTTCTTGTCTGGTTCGCAATTTAACTTCGATGCAACTATCACAGAATTATAAGTTTTCCTTATTCTTTCTGACCAGAAGGACCACATCATTGCATTTCGCTCCTCGTGTCGCGTTGTATGCTTTGCCAGCCTTTCTCGCAGAAAAGATGGCCTTTACACCGAAAAGAAACAGCTACCAGATTGATCATAAAGCTGCTGACGAGGTTACAGTTGCCAACTACAAGACGAATACAAAATCGGTTTACCAACCTAGACCAGAAACGTTAAGTTCTTTCGCTGAAAGGACTACCTTACATGGAATTCGATTTGTGTTCACTGGAAGCATTTTCATGAGATTACTTTGGGCTTTGATCCTCATAGGTTCCTTTAGTTACTGCAGTTATGACATTTTTAGTTCTGTGAGGGCTTTTTATCGTCGACCATTCCAAACGAGAATATTAACAGTGACCAGCAATAACGAAAAACTACGCTTCCCTGCCGTGACGATCTGCAATGTCAACTCCGTAAACAGGAGACGGTTGAAAGACTTATTAAATACGGCAAACTACACCGAGGAAGAAATCGAATTAATACTTGAGGTCTATGCAAAAACGATTGCAAATTCAAAAGATGCCTTTACTAACAAATCAAAGGAACTCTATCCTGAATTGTTTCACCGCATCCATGGCGGCAAAGTTCCAAAACACGATTATATCAAAATGTTTGGTCATCGAATTGAAGACATGCTCCTTCCAAGTCCAGTATTTGATTCTTGTTTTATTAATAATATGGTTTGTGGGTCCGATAATTTTACAGCGTTTTTTAGCTCTATGTATGGTCAATGCTATACATTCAATTCTGGGCACGATGATAGCCTCGTAATTGATGCTACCGCTGCTGGTGACCTAAATGGCTTGAAGCTTTTGTTGAATGTCGAGAGAAACAGTTACCTGGATAATCCGCGGATCCCCATCGTCGGCCTCAGAGTTCTCGTGCACGATCAACACACCTTTCCTTTGATGGAACAGTTTGGCTTTGCTGTCCATCCAGGGGTTCGCGCTCTGTGCTCGATAAAAAGGAAAAAGGTTTGATCAAAAGTCTAGTTACATGTTGCTCGTTATTTACATTTGTATACCCACAGCTTAAACCAGTGGGAGGGGTCAGTGGGGATGCGCATTGATCAATGAGAGTTCGAAGCTATTTGTTTCTTACTAGATATTCTTTGGTGTTGTAAACTTACAACAGTAAATATTTCCTGATTCTCTGTTAACCTCATTTTATTAAGAGACAGCAGGGGAAGAAAGTGAGAAACTAAGAAGGTCGACCCCATCTATGATGGCATACGTACCTATTTACAGTTGTGGCTACTCTTTGTATTAGAACAGAACGTTTTGGGGTAAGCTGACAACAATCGAATGCGCCCAAAGGCGACGATGGTAGAGGTGGAGGACTCTGTGGCTGCTAAAAAAATACAAAGAGCAGCCATCAGCAGCTTTTTTTTTGGCCTTGTTAGGTCTTTTTAAGCCTCATCAGCCTGGCATTGCAAAAACCTGAGTTTAGGGTTCTCCCAGAAAGAGAAACAAGTAATGTGAAAATGGCACACTTGTGGTTTTTGGTCGAGAATGTATTCATTCACCTTACAGTTAACATTCCTATTTTCAGCCAATTTCTACAAGTGCATTTTGAACGATGAGAAGACTAACTTGACCTGGAACTAGGACTGATTATAAATGGAACTTAACGAGGTTACCCTTACTATTTCTTGTTTGGGAGCTTGCCCCCTTGAAAAAACAAATATAAAATATCACCGAGATCGTTTAGGGGACACGCTAACAAGGTGTAAATCTAAATACTTATTCTTTCCAAAACAGCACAAAGCAACCACAATTTCCCTCCACAGATAATAAATTTGAAAACACCTTACTCCACCAACTGCACCAACCGAACACTCTACATGTTGCGAGACACCGGCTACACATATTCAAAGTCAGCTTGTTTGATGCAGTGCATGAGTGAGTTTGTAATCAAGAAATGCGGTTGTCATCCCATAGAATATGGAGGTGAGATGTTTCCGTTTTAACACTGCAATGAAATTTCTTCAGTATATGGTGCTAAGCTCACTCTTTCTTAGGACCTGTTTACATGGAGGAAAGCTGTTCCTGGTTGGAGGGTCACCCTCCATACCGAGCACCTTAGCGATAGAGCTTTTCATATATTATTAATCAGAGTAATCACAAAGTTGGCTAATGAGCCAAGTGATCGTAGACGGAGTGTCACTCGCACTGAAGATAGGGTGATCCTGGGTGGAAGGTCACTTGCATTGAAGGTTAGGTGGGCCTGGATTGAAAATATGTTTGGCTCTCCTACCAGAGACAAAGCGAGGCACATAGACCAAAACAAACGGGAGGGCCAATTTCTGGTTCGGTCAGCCAGGACAACAGCGTTATCACCGAGGCAACTCTGACACAAATCCACCAGCTAGTTGCGAATTCTTCTTGTAGCCTCTGAGTACGTTAGTTAATAGAAACATTGCTGATGGCTCGGCGAAAGATGACTCTGGGGGCAGGGAAACTCTCCCGTGAGGGACAACTCTCCACATGAACAGGTCCAAAATCCGCTACTCAAGAAAGATCCTTCTTTCCTATTGTTTATTTGGCGAGATACTATCATATTGCTTCTCTTTACTCGGGATCATAATTGTATTTTGATCAATTGTTGAAATATAGATTTGCTTCATAAAAAAATGAACACTCTTATAACATCTTTGCTTTGTTTTCTCTATCAGATGCAAAGGTCCCATTTTGCGCCCCAAATGACACTGTGCTTTGTATGTTTCCTGCGTTTTGTAAGTAGAAAATTCAGTTAAATCGAGTCATGGATATTCTCTTTCTTATCCATGGTTAAATATGTGGCGTATTACGGTCAAGCCACAGGGGACCTCAACACTATGTCCGCAGTAAAAATAAATGTACTGTTATTTAACTGTGTTACTGTGTCTTTTTGAGTTGTTTATAAGGGATTTGAATGGAGCGAAGGCGGTTTATATTTCCGAATATTATCTCGTCTGCCACTTTGTAATTATGACGCTCCGTGTGGGTTGCAAGCTTCTGTTATCGTCGTTAACTATTAACTCGCATCGAGGGGAGAGATTCTCACGATGTTAATCGAAACCTGAGGGTTATAATCACAAAGAGAGCAAAACAATGGCTCTGCACGTGCTTTATAAATCTTGGTACATTTCTTTGCCGTCCTCTACAAAACAACAACGTGAAATGACCAAATTCTGCGTTGTCCAGAGAACGTGAACCACGACGGCTAATTTTTCTATTTTTTTTTTCAAATGTTTCGCCCTGTCCGAGATTCAATTTCGTGATGGTTTTAACACTAGGAAACAAAGGAAAATCACTTTAGAGTATCGCGAGATTCGTAGGTAAAATATAATATAATTTTTTAATCGACGGTGTTCTTCGTGCCGCGTCCTGGTTTCTTAAACCCCCTAATATTCGGAAATGTAAACCGCCTTCGCTTCATTCAAATCCCTTCTAAACAACTCCAAAAGACACAGGAACACAGGTAAATAACAGCACATTTATTTTTGCTGCTGATATAGCGTTCGGGTCCTCTGTGGTCAAGCTTTAAATAAGCAGATATCATAAAGACCAGTGCCTGACCGGAGGCCACTAACCAGAGCTACAGAATTAAGAGTCAAGCGATAGGCCGACCAAAGAAAGATCCAATTACTGCACTGCGACTTCAGAATGTAGAGACCCATTTGCCAGTTGTTTGTGCTGTTTGTTCTCATATTTACTCAGCTCTACGCAGGAGAGCTCAAGAAGAAAATGAGGAACAAGGAAAGAGGCTTCGACCACCTTGTTCAATCATTTCCTGTGAGCTCTGTGCAGTCAGTCTGTGCCTAAAATCAAATAGTAATTGGTGAGTCACCTGGCACACCAAGGCAGACTTACTATAGTACATTTATTTAACACATTTGGATTGCAGAAAACCTATTCTTGGCTGACTTTATCATAAACTGTAGACCAAGATAACTAAGATTATTTAACATTTACAGCATTGTATGTTCTTTTATTATTATTATTATTATTATTATTATTATTATTATTATTGTTATTATTTTCGTTCATTATTATTTTATATCATTACCAGAAAAAATACGGACAGTTCAAATGTCCTACCTTGTGTATTACTCAGAAACAGTTGAAAAACCAATTGAAGATCGAACACCACAAATTTGAAAGAAGCGAAAAACAGTAGTCATGCAAATTTATGCATAAATTATAATTTTCTTTATTTGTATCAATGGTTGCCTGTTAACTGTTGTTTTTGAATTCTAATCTATTGTAGAAGAGTTGTGAAACTTACATATATCATAGGAAGCATAACTTTAGCAAACAGTTTGCCTTAAAACATTGTTATAATCTCAAAACTTGAAAAATTTGAAGAAAAATGACACTAAAAGTTAATGAATGACAAGGTTAATTTATGCAAAAAAGTTAATCATTACCTTCATCTTAAAGACAATTTAGTGACGGTTCAGAATATGTATAGGTTTGTATAGTTCAAGTCAAAGTTGCCTCGTTATAAATGTAAGAATGTGTTACACTTTGACAGTAATTGAAAGACTCCGTAAGAAATAAGTTAAAGGAAACATCACTGTAATATCTCACACACTGAAGACTTTTTAGTGTGGTATCACGTTTTGGCACTTGAATCAGTACCTGCTAGCGATCCCATAATAATTAGGAACTCGTCTCGCCGTCTTTGTGCCGCCCCTTCTTGGGCTCAATGATTTATTTTATCTAAACCAATCACATAAATAAGGTCCTAGCTAATTGTCGACGGGGTCTGATACTTCACCGTCTTTAGTGAATTTCAGTGTACTACGATTATCAGTCGAGTAATGGACGATTGAACTTTGGTGACGAGGTTTTGGCCTTAACGTGACAGTGCTGTCACGGGCAACTTTTCTCGTCTTGGTAACAAAACCAACAGCCATGCGTCTCCTAAATTTCGGACGCTTTGCTTCTATTGACGTCCAAGGTCGACAAGTTGCCACTGGAAACGGAACCTGTTTCCCATGACAACAACACCATTAGAACGTTAAAACCTGGTTACTAAAATCCCGTCGCGCCTTACTCAATTGGTAATCATAGTATGTGGTATTGGGTCATCCTGTGTACTGTACACGCGACCATTGCAAGTTCGCCAGTTAATATGTTTTGACTGAAGGGACACTCATCGGGACTGAAATGTATGAAAAAGTCGGGCGAAGCACGTTGAACTGCATGGACTGTTGTATTTTCCACCCAATCCATAATGAGAGTACTTACGGAGTCCTTCCGACCTTTACATATATGACAGGCCAGAATGGTATGCTTTTGCATTTGATATATATCTGTATATTTTGCATATGTTTAGTTCGATTTGGTACTTCAGAAGAAAAGGTCAAATGTGAGGAGGACTGCCCAGAGCCTTGCGAACATACCGACTACGAGATGTCATTGTCATACGCTGGCCTGCAAAGGAATGTTTTCATCAAAAGGCTGAAATCACATCTGAACAAAACCGATAATTTTCCTTCCTCAATCTACGACGATTTCCTAAAGATGTCCTATTCCGAGCAGAAGGAATACATAGAGTAAGCGTTTTCGAAAAATCTTGAACGTTTTCTTGACACGTTCATCTGGCTTATAGCACTCTTCAACTGAATCTTCCAGGCCTACAGAAATGCAGGTTGTGTATTGTTCATGAGATTGTACATAAGTAGTATTTAAAATTACCAACAGAAGAGCCGGGTAAACCCCTTTTTTTACCTCCGCAGTGAAAACATAGTTTCGTTGGACATCTATTTTCAAGATTTGAGTTACGACAGGATCGAGCAAACTCCAGTTTTTGAAACATGGAATCTGTTTGGTAAGTTGCCCTCTATGTTACGTTGACGGACTAACTAGCTATGAAAATCGCCCTGATAGTATCCTTTGAAATAATGAATGATTTTATTTTTCTTCATTTAAGCAACTTTGGGTGGCACCTTTGGCTTGTTTCTTAGCATGAGCATGCTGACTGTTCTTGAGTTCGTTGACTTCGCCTGCCGAAGACTTTGCAGCAAGATCTCACGAGTTATTACAGTACAATAGAAAGATTAAGCATGACGTTACGTCAAACGGTAAAGGGCAAAAATGAAACTTTTGCCGTCTGTCTCAAGCTGTCTGTACAATAGAGTGAAAATATTTGTATTTGTGGTGAATAGTAGAAGACATTTTTCTATTTTTGCGTGATTAATTTAATGATTACAAGAAAAGAATAAAACTTAGGGTTAGAAGTAATTTTTGACGTTTGCCATCTACCGTAAACGTCATGCTCACTCTCTAATAACATACAACATAGAAAAGGCATTTCTGTATTTGTCCTAGTCTCGTCCAGTAACTAACTGGTACGTGAAAGCCTGAGTGGGAGATGTCCCTTTTGTGTCAGTAGAAACATTTTAAGGAGTATCAATCTAATCATGATTGCAGCAAGCAAGATATCACAGTCTTTTGAACAAGCTTATGCACAACTGGGCTCAAACATATTTATTTTATGCATACTATGCGTCTGGAGTGGGTCATTGTGTTACGTTTTTTCCAACTTTGTTCAAGCGTAACAGTTATCTATTTACTAATTAAGAATCCCTAAAACCTCGCTCTCCACAACCTCTTAAAACCCTCTCTTCGAACAATCCCTTGATAAAAAAAAACAAAACAAAACAAAGCAAAAAACAAAACAACAACAACAACAACAAAAAAAAAAACGGGCCAGCAAAATTACACAACTTGCTGGCCGACTGACAGACTGACTGAGCAAGCGAGCGAGCGAATTTTTCTCAACCCATTTGTAATACTCCTTCTTACATCTCATTGAGTCATAAGAAAAACGACAGGCCTTTGGCATATTTTTTATTTTATTTAGATTGGCTAGTATTTGAGAACTGGGATATTCTCTAATAGCTTCTAATTTAGATTACATCAATGGTCGATGTACTTTTGTTTAATGACTGACGTACTCATTGAATTTATTATGGATGATATAGACAATAAACCGAAACTTTAACCTTTTACATTTAAATAGAGAGCAACAGGAATACAGAATGAATTCAGGACGTCCAACAACACAAGGATTTCCATTCTGTAATTACCTAAAATTTATACGAAACCTGTTCGTGATGAGATTTCAATGAATGGTAAAATGTAAATAAATTTCGTATTTGTAAATTCCTTATCATTTTCCTTCACTATCGACGACTTTGTCAAGTAGTCTGGATGACCTACGATACCTCCTTGTCTTGGGCTGTATCTGCCGAGAAAAGAAAATTAAAAACAGACAAAACTGCAATATTTAGATAGAAAGCCACATCAGCCTTAACTGGTTTTCATTCGGGTCCTCTATCCTATTCGAATAGGAATTCGGAGATGTAGGTTTTTGTGGAGGGCGGGAGGAAAACCGGAGAACCCTAAGAACCAACAACAAACTCAACCTACATATGGCACTGGGGCGGAATCGAACCCAGACAACATTAGTGGGAGGCGAGTGCTCTCACCACTGCGCCATCCCTGCTACCCACTGTCTCATGTGAAAACATAAGTTACACTTATCCTATATTTAGAATTCAAAAACTGCCTGCTGTTTACTGAGACAGAACTGATCTGTCAGTGATAATGCACATATCTCAGATGATACTGTTTGCCTTTCTCTCTTATGACTGTGCCTATAGTCCATATAAGATCAAAACATGAAGCAAAATAAACTTGGAACTATATAAAATCTTACCATCCAGTTGAAGTCGATAAAGCCTCTTTTTCAGCAGTCTCCAAAGTTTTCCCTCGCTTTCTCTTTGAAGACCATCGCCTTCTTGAAAACCTCTTCCCCAGCGAATTCCGGGAAGCTGTCCCTCAACATTTTGAGAGTACATCGAAAGAAGAACGCAAGGAATGATCAATAACAACGCTAACTTGTAAGATGACGTCATGCTTTCTACAAAAAGGAGGGGAAAAAAACTTCATTTAAACGCACGTGTTAAACCATTACACTGCTAATTAATTAAACCCTTGCTTTGGTGGCGTTTTTGGTGGCGTTTTCATATCCGTTGCCCATGTGTTTGCTAAAGCTTCCTATTTCTGAGCAGAGAGGTGCCCTAAATTCAGAATTTAGAATCGAAGACCGATGTAACTGTGTCATATACCAGCTGATTCAATCTGAGTTTCTATTTCTTTTGTTTGCTTCCTTACGAAACCCTTCTGAAACATTGCGAACAACAGTACTTGTAATTATGTAGTGGCTGTAATTTCCGGTACAAATTGAAAAGTTGAAGAGCTGTTGAATCAGAGTGTTTTAGTTTCGAGTCGCTGGAACCCTTTAAAAAGATCTTTTGTTGGGTGATTTTATAATACTGTTTGACAAATCTATGGAGGACGAGGAAGGTATGTTAAATTCAACATAATTATGGATATAGATGACAGTGCAGAAAAAAACAGAAACGCTTTGATTCTGTAAACTTCAAAATGTAAACATCTGCGCTGAAAACGACCATTGAATACTCCTTGCGCGCATAATTTTGGCATTCCTTTTGAAGTCTGTTAAGTTTTTAGCCTCCATTTTAATGTCGTTTCTAGAGCTATAAAGCAACAAAATATAGTTTAGCTCTTTTTCATAAAATTATAGTGAATACCACAAAAACTTTTACGGCTCTGGAATCACAAAGAGACATATATAATAAGCATAGCAATTATTTCAGCTTACCGAAGGCCTCTGACTGTTATTTCTATCCCTCGTACTTTTTGCGCAATTCACGTTAACCTTGCTTTGACTTTTAAAGCTTGATCTATCATCTGGGAATGACAGCCTTTTTCAATGAAATTGGACGGGGGCGTCATTTTTAGCTATCTCTACCCTGCCTTCCTATAAATTGACAGAAAGTTAATCATACCTTACGCTTGTTCGCGTTTGACTTGTACGACTGATGCTTTACTCCGATCTAGAGTAGAAGCTTCCTGTTCTTAAACCACTTGTCAAAACCTTTACTCTTTCAATGCCTCTTTTATCTAAGACTAATACCTTAGAAGCTCTCGGTCGTTGGCGTCTTAATTAACTGCGCGAGTCACTGTTAATGACTGCGGTAATTTTGGTTATTGAATTGTTCCTTTGGCCGGCGATGTACACGGTTTTTCGTTTGTTTCTCTCTATTGAAGAGTGTAGCGCGCTAAATCTTTTAAATTTTTTCAACCTTTAAGCTCCAGACTTCACATGTTGGCTTCAGATCAAATCGCGGTCAATGGTCGACGTCAGTTTTCAGCTGGCGTTTTCGCCTTATTGCAAATATAATCAAGGGTTTTCTGTTTTCTTTTTGATTTAGAAAACAATAAACTTCGGAAACATGTTTGGTCGGAAATATTTCATCAATAACACAACCCACATATAAGGCAAAGATAAAATGAATGGTAAAGGCTTAGCACTTTAATTTCTTCGCCTCTGAAATGGAGCCAACATTGTTTTCATGGATAGCCAAATTAGAACTTAATTCTTCGACTTTCCTCTCTTTGTTCGACTTTTCGAACGCTCCAATTAACATCATTTGTAATGTGAATTTTCCAAAAGTATCGCCGACACTCTTTAAAGAAACCATAAAGTGGTCAATAAACAGTGTTAAACCTGCGTTAGTAGCAATGATGAACTTTTAAATTGCTAGGAAGCGAGGTGTCGTTGTAAGTTTGCTTTTGCTAATGTGGTGGTCAACATCGTTTCCGTCATTGCAATTCGCTTCCATTTCGTTTTAGAGCTTGTCGTCAATTACACTCCGGGCGGATCGTCAAATCTGTTTGATAACAAGAGACGATAATAATGGTGTCTTGTTTATAGCAAAGATGACTGGACTGAAGCAGAGGAAATCCCTTCAACAAGTACAACATCGTACATGTTTGCACGGTTTACAGTGAACTCTTTAGACACACATACATACACATAAAAAGCAGAAAATAAAAAAGACAGAATAAAGAGGAAAAAAAAAAAGAAAGAAAATGAATCGAAGAGCCTATGGAAAAATAGTTTTGGCAATTATTAAGTAATTCACGGTAAAGGCATATTACCCTTCAAGTTTATAAATTTTATCTGAAGTGACATTATCGAGAACCGCACTTAGTATTTCGGTTTTTCCATCAAATGTACCGCTTATGTTAGCATATGACTTCAATTGCTTGAACTGTATTTGATCGATGTGGTTTTATTAATGTTAACTCCAAAAACGATTGCAGCCAAGGAGAAAGGCTTTGTAAAATTAGAGCTTTGAAGTAAACTTAGCTTAATTCAGATGTGCACTCCGAGGAATAAAAAAATGACGACGTGAACTTACAAGGGAATAAATCGCGGGGAAGGTAAATATCTTGTTCTTTCCTCTGGCACGGAGGCAAATAATTGTTTTTATGTAAACCATACCTAACAACGAACAGCGACAACGTTAACAGATAAAAAGTGGATATTTCCGCTGCCAACTACAACGCCTAAAACAGATAGGTTTGTAATATTTACAAAACAGGCAACATGACAGGATATTTACCGTCTCAGTCAACCAATAAGAGTGCGAGGAAAATGTTATTCACTTGGCGTTAAGTTTTGAAAAAACCATTATGCTGCTTCTCAATAACATAGGGAACTTAAGCAAACCTCGACGGAAACGAAAACGTCAGCGAAAAAAAAAGTTAATGAGCAGGACAATGGCTGTGCACATGCGTTATAAATCTTGGTACATTTCGTAGCTGTCCTATGGACAATAACAACGTCAAATGACGGACCCGATTTTTTTTTCAGTCGAAAGACCAAACAATTTGGATCAGTAGCTTTGATAAGCGCAAATCGCGCCTTGGGGTTAACGAAAGCACTACTTTCTAATTCAGATACGATGTTTTCTGTCTAGATGTTTTTTGTCCAGGTTCCAGACCTCCACTGATGCAGTA